AAAAAAAAAATCCTCAATGAAAAATAGGAAGAAAAGCGACGATCGATGGTACAGTATTAAAATACAACCTGTAATTCAGGCTGTGTCCAAGAACCTAACAGGACCCACCACACGCCGATGGATAGTCGTAACTTGTAACCGTGACGAGACTACGGAATAGACCTGTATGTCCTCGTGATGTACGTCGATTGAATTCCGAATGAACCCCTAAATGGTAGAACAGTCGATGTCCATGCGGTTTATTGTCATTCAGTGACGAGCAACAGGAAATCGTGGCGACCGAAGCGTACTCGTGTCCTTGATTCTTAATAACTTCTAATGCGTCGTACCTTGCATTCAGAATCGTGGAAATTCCCATCGAGAGACACACAGCTGTGCCGTTTTTTCCTTCCTTTCCATTTTCCGTGAATCCTTCCAATTTTTTTTCCATCCGTCTTTATACGATAGACGTTTGAACAAAAATACTAAAAAAAAAAAAAAAAACGACATGTGTTGACGGTGCTTTCAGATCTCTCTTGTGGTGTTGGGAGCAGAGGCAGAAGCAAGAGAGAACGCGACGAGACGGTTGCTGGAGTTTTGTTCCCTAGAGCTGGTAAGCCGCTTTTAATCGATCCTTTTAATCCATCGCTTCGACACCCCGAGATCGTGTCGAATCTGAAATGATCCCCGGCGACAATACATTTAGCGACACGAGAAGAAGGAACGTGGGACTGTTAAGATCGATAGATTCGCGTTACAAAAGACTCTCGCGATGGTTTCTTTCTTACGTTCGGCTCAATTTTCGCTTTTTTCCCCCTGGATTACCCTCGTCTTCAACGTTTCTTTACGTTTCCTTTCAGACGGAATTTTGGGGCTGCGTCAACTCGACTTTGAACGGTGAGAGTCTCAACTTGATCTTGTCAACCCTTTTCAAAGCAACGCAAAATTAATTATTTCTCTCCCGATAGAGGTGAAGAGACACGAGAACTGGACTGGAAGGGGTTGTTGTTACCTAGTACAGAATCCAATATGCCGATCCACGTGCGCCCTCTCAGGCTCTAGAAGAGATCTGAACGAATCCTGTCGGCCAAGTGACGAGCCCGAATTTTACTCTTGCTTGGAAAGGCGAGAAGAAGCCGAGCACTGTTGCAGCAACGTATCTAACGATACCTGTAGAGCAATTTGTCAAGATTTGTTCTATAAACCCGGGAAGATTTCAAATCTGAAATTATACAGTAGCAAGGGATGCTTCCATCAGGTCCCAAAGTGTTTGAAAAGCGTGGCTGAAGTGAAGCACGCTGAAGATCCGAAACAACGTAAGTGAAACTCGAAAAGTTTCTCCTTTGTAGCCTTCCAACGTCGTCGTCACTCTTACTGTGTTGTTACAACAGATTTGCATTGTTGCAACGTGGCTACGACCCCAGCCTGTCTAGAAACGTGCAAGAAAATCCTGCACACGGCAACTACCGATCAAGAAATCATGGATGCGCTGACGGAGAAATGCAGACCAGTTTTACCTCAATCACCGTTTTGGAGCTGCCTGTTAAAATCTGGCTCGTCAAAGCCAGCACGTTTACCTTTAGATGCGGGCAAGCTGTCCTGCTGCACCAAAGCGACCAAGCCATCGTGCCAAAATCTGTGTTGGAGAGCGTTCCAAGCAGACTGGGAGTCCGCGTGGCTTCAGCTCGACGCAGAGTGCTTGTCGTCGAGCTTAGAAGGCGAGCTTAGGAGGTGTCTCGAGGATACCGACGATCCATGCGAAATGGGTTGCTCTGGACTGTCCTATTGCACTCGATTCAACGACAGGTCAACGACACTTTTCAGGTAGAAACTCATGTTTTAAACTACAGTACCAAACCTGGTCCAACTGCTACTCTTATTTCACATTTTAGAAGTTGTTCGGCCGCAGCTGACGAGGCAGCTAAATTAGAAGCTGATCACTGGTCCAGAGGTGGGATCGTTCGAGGATTAGGTGTGCCTGTTCGAGCTGCTGCTTCCTGCCCATCGGAAACGCTACGAGCAGCCGCGTGTCTATTGCAATTAAGACCCTGTGAAACAAAGATCCACGAGACGAGACTCTGTCGAGAAGATTGCTTGGAATTGATGGCCAGTTGCGTAGACTGGTCAGCCATTACTGGTCCCCATACAGCGGCCACGTTATGCGCGAAACTCTCTCCAGCTAGATCCGATGCATCCTGCGTATCTCTAAGACCGTTTCTAGAAGATCCCCAGGATAACGAGTCCGTGATTCATCTCGAGGAAGACATCATGACCCCTTGCAAAAGTAATCCTTGCGGCCAGGGCGAGATCTGCCAGCTGATCCATTTCGGCCGACAATTATACCGCTGTGTACCGGCTTGTTCTCTTGGAGAAATGTCGAAACAATTAGTACCCGTAGGATCTTGGGTACAGATCCCAAGATACGACCAACAGGGCTGTCTCAGAATCTGTCAGTGCACGCTGCACGGTTTGGAGAAGTGCCGAACGTTAAACTGCTATAAATTCAACTCTTGCTGGGTACACGATCGGTTCATCGCTCACAAGGCCAACTTCTATCTGGAATGTAATCCCTGTCATTGTTTCGAGGGCGAGTTCACGTGTTCTAAAAAGAACTGCGGGGAGATCCGAGCTCCCTCCCTCCCCTGTGACTGTCCGGCTCATTACGTTCCCGTCTGTGGAAGATTAGGCTTCACTTTTGCATCTGGTTGTCTGGCAAAGTGCGCGGAGATGTCGGCGAATGAGGTGGAATTCGGTAGCTGTTCCTCTCGAGACGCCTGCGCATCCAATCCTTGCGACAGCACAGAAAAGTGCGTTCCAAGAACCAGGATATGCTTGTCCAGACTTCACAAATCTTGTCGCCAGTACGAATGCATTCCCCTCGATTGCGATCCTCGAGATGAAGCCAGCGGTCCAGTTTGCGACAAAGAGAACCGCCAATATCGATCGGTGTGCGCTATGATTCGTTCTGGAGCTAGTTTGGCCTATAGAGGACATTGTCTGGAAGGATGTAGCTTACGTGGTCCCGTTTGCGGCATCAATGGAGAGGTTTACGCGAACGAATGCACGGCGTGGGCAGAAAGGACAGCGGTGGATTACTTTGGCCCTTGCGTAGCTGTTGGATTGATAAGTGATGAAGCTAAGCCTCGTTGCGGTGATCTAGTACAGTGTCCTCGATTAATCGAGCCCTACTGCGTCGGAGTCACACCACCTGGTGCTTGTTGTCCTGTCTGCGGTGGAGCGGCTAAACTATTTTATTCCAAAAAACAGGTATTTTTACAGTCTCTTTTTCACTCTTTCAGTTGAATTGAAATGAATTATTATTATTATTGAAATTAAATGTAAAATAATACTCTCTGGATTTTTCAGCTGGACAGGATATACTACACGATGGATGAGGACGTGGACAAAGATACGGTTACGCTCGAGGTCCTATTATCAGCTCTGGCACGACAGATCCAAGTGGCACAGTGTGTTCTTCGAGGCATGATGACACCGGACCTTGACATATTCATTCTAATACAGCCTACGTCGAAGAGGCCTTCGACTTTGCAACTACGGGCTTGCGTGGCCGAGATCGAGAAATTAGTTACCAGAATTTCGGAGAGAAGTCCTAGGATCACGGCCGAAGTACTCTTAGGCGCGCTCACCAGAGCGGAAATTGCTCATAGTTACATATCAAGTGCCATGACCATTGGAGGATCCGTTACGCAGGTCTTTCTTGGAATTCTCGTATATATTATAATTTCGTGAAAATCGAAATACACACGCAGCTACGTACAAGGATAAGAGACGACGCTGACTGCGATGAGCGAGCGATTCGTTTGTCGTAATCAGTGCGGATTTTCACTCGCATTTTTTCAAAGGTGCTAAAACATTTGTTTTACCTAATGGCTTTACCGTATTCTCGCGGTATCGTCAAGTTCATGACTGTGATTCTTCTAGTGCCTAACGTAATATACAAAAACTTAGAATGTATTTTTCATCGTTTTAATATTGCCAAAGAAAAGGGAGTGCGTGAAACATGTACAAAGGCACATAATTATCCAAATAAGGAAATATCGCTAAACAATCGTTGAAGGATGATTATGTTGCTCATTGTAAGATGTAAATAAAGTTAAAGTCCTAACTTAAGTTACCAAAAATTATATCCTTCGCAGATACAATAATCGTCGATAGAAAACCCAAATCTGTCAAGCGGTCCAAATTTTATGTAGCATCATACGTTTTTCAATTGATTTCTTAAGCCGAGAAATTTGTACCGCTCGCAGATACCTCGATCGTTACTCCCGTTAATTGTTAAGCAAGTTTTGCACGTTATTGTACTGTTAAATACAAAGTGTTTTTGTATAGACATTTGTAAGTTTAATAAATTTCTAAGTTTACTCATATGTTATTCACTGAAACGAATATTTTATAGTGCATAGAATTGCATGTACAAGACAAGAACATTCCTTCTTTTTCTTTTCTTTTTTTTTTTTTTTTTATAAAACCTTGTATCGACCACGAGATGCAGTGTGTGCTCCGGACGCTTGCAATTTGATCAGTTCTTCCTTAATCAATCGTGATACTTCCGCTTTGGCCTTGCTAACTGCTAACTCGCTTGTTGACTCTATAGCAAGATACAACTTCCTTTCTCCTTCGGGTGGTGCTTTACCAGGTGCAATGTAAGTTCCTCTGACTGTAAGACCCGCTTCAGAATACTCTGAGATCTGAGCAAGAGCTTCTTTGCTAGTAACCCGCCACCTAGCCTGTTGCGGAAAATCGTTGATCTCCAATTCCTCTTCGTATTTACGGAAGGTTTGCTCGCCAGCCTCAGCGTCACTTTCCACAAGATCTTCTTCGCGAGGTTGGTAATTAAGCTTGGTGTTCAATTTTGCAGCCAACTGTTCTGCAACTGTTTTTGCCGTAATAAGATTAGTAGGCCCAGCACCTTTAAGTATAGCTTCAGCTGCTTGTTGTGTTGCACCCTTTGCCTCAGCACCTAAATTCTTCGCTATGTTGATCTTAGATGCTAGTCGCCTAGCCAATTCTAACTTGTCAGTTGCACTAGGTACAGGCTGTCCAGGAACCGCGATGTTAGTGGCAGAAGGCCTAGCAATTTCGCGAACCGTCCTCTTTGGAGCAAGCATACTTTCTATTTGTTGGTCAATGTCGTTCTCTATATCCTCGTCATCGGAGTCTTGTAATCCCAGAGCTGCCTTCTGGAATTTCTTCTTTTCATTCGCTAAGGCTGCTTCTGATTCATCAAACTTAAATCCTTTACCACTGAAACCACCACCGGTGTGAACTTTCTTCCCATCTGCTGCTTGTCGAGCTTTATATCCTTCCCAAAGCTGTCGTAATGGTTCAGGAACAGGAACTCCCGCTAATTCGTGAGCGCGTAAAATATCACCTGCGTACCGTTCCTGTTCTGATGTGATGAAAGTATATGCATACCTATAAACGAAAATAAATAAATGTTTAGTTTTTTTTACTGTGTTACTGATATGAACGCTGTATCTCAAAAAAAAAAAAAAGGACTTACCCCTTGTTCCCAGCTCTTCCTGTTCTACCACATCTATGCACATAATCCTCATAATGATTCGGGCAATCGTAATTAACTACAAGTACAAGATGCTTCACGTCCAGACCTCTGGCCGCGACTGACGTTGCAACTAATAACTTCGTCCTGCCAGCCTTGAAATCTAATATCGTTGAATCTCTATCGCATTGATCGATACCTCCATGAAGCGACATGCAGGAATACGAAGCTTTCATGAGATCCTTCAACAGAGTATCTGCGTTTTCTTGCTTGTCGACGAATATTATAGCGGAACCTTTATCTTGATAGTGGCCAAGAATTTCAAGTAACTTATAAAACTTTTGATCTTCTTCAAGAACCACCACGTGTTGTTCTACATCCTTACAAACAATAGACCGTCCTCCAACTTGAACTTCCACAGGTCTGGTTAAAATTCTTCTTGCTAAAGCTTCCATTTGTCGAGGGAATGTCGCGCTGAATAATACAGTTTGTCGATCTGGTCGAACATTTTCCATAATACGCATCACTTGAGGCTCGAAACCCATGTCAAACATTCTATCCGCTTCGTCGAGAACTACGTATGTCACTCTACGCAAATTTGTTACCCTTCCACTGTTGGCAGCTAACATATCAATCATTCTACCTGGTGTACACACGATTATCTCAGCACCTCTCTTTAACTCAGCTATCTGTTCCGATATACCAGTTCCGCCATAAACGCAAACGTGAGACAATCCCAGAGACTTTGTGAATTTCTTCGAATCTCTTCCAATTTGCATGCATAATTCTCTAGTTGGTGTCATGATTAATGCGATTGGGCCATCACCATCTGCCAGTGGAGGCTGATCAAGAATATGCCTAAACATTGGTAGCAAGAAGGCTAACGTTTTTCCACTCCCTGTCTTTGCTATACCTATCAAATCACGGCCAGACATAATTGCTGGAATGGCTTGACATTGAATAGGAGTTGGCTTCTCATAACCGAGTTTCTTCAGTACCTCCAACTCCTTTTTCGTAACACCACATTGTGCCCACGACTTAATGGGCTTCGGGCAACCTTTGCCTTTCACACGAATACCTTCTAATTCTTCTTTGTACGCTTCTACTTCTTCCGGTGTCATTCTTGCTACAAACGATTAAATACCAATAAAATCTTTTAAAAAGAAAATATGTAAAAATTTCGATATGCAATCTTACCAATCTCAGGTACTTCAACGTAAAAGGATTTTCTGAATGGTTGATACTCTGTCGTTGCATGATCGACTTTGGCTAATTCTCGCTTCTGCTTATTCGCAATACCAGCAGCGGTTTCGTGGAGGTTCTCGCCTTCTTCTTCGCTAGAATATTCAAGACCATCTTGATTCTGTTCAATTAATTCACCTTTTTGCTTTTGCACTTTCTTTTTGGCTACGCCGGTAACGATAACAACACCGCCGCTCTGAGTACCTCCCGCGCCTGTGCCATTATTCGTATTCTTTCCACTCTTATTATCGAGTTTGTTCACTTTACGAACTTCTTCTTGAACCTGTTCAAAAAGAAAATTATTAATTCGTTGTATGTGATATACACGTAATATATGACGTGATAAATAAATACCTCCGCCATAAAGGCATCGAGGGGATCAACTTCTTCTTCATCGCATTTAGCTTCTTCCTTAACTTCTTCCATTTCTTCTTTCGTTTCTCCATCCTCTTTGCATTCCTTGTTACAATTTTGGATAACAGGCGTCTCTTCATCACTGTCATCCTCGAGGGACCATTTTTTCATAGGCAACTGTAGGTTTGCTAAAATAGATGCCTTACCGTCTTTCTTAGTTGCTTCCAATTCTTTCTTTTTTCTTTCTGCACGCCATCTCTCTATTCTTTCTCTCCTCTTTTGCATTTCCAATTCCAATCTTTTTTGCTCTTCCTCCTAATAAACACGTAGAGAGATCATTTTTAAGCAAATCGTACGCTTTACTTCAATTAAAATAAATTACCTTGTCCAATTTAGTATGGTCAAACGGCAATTCATCATTGTCACCCTTCTCTTTCTCCTTTCGGTCTCTTGATCTTGATCTATTCGACCGATCTTTGCCTGAACGTGAAGACTTTGAGCCTGTAAGACGCTTTTCTTTACTGTCTCCACTAGTATACCGAGAACAATCAATGTTAATACATTATTTCATTAATATATGCATCCCCATGAAAACAAAAAACAAACATGGTAACTAGCATAGTTTCACTTGTAAGCCTTGGAAACCTTTTCAAGAAAGTTATAACGTTAAGAAATATTTGTCATTTATAATTATAAGAAACTAGAAAATAACATGTATATTTTTGTACACTTTGTAATATACCGTTTCCTGTCACGATCCCTGTCCCTTTCAGAACGATCTCTTCTATCCCTGTCACGATCTCTAGAACGACTTCTTCTTTCCCTGTGTCGTCCTTTATCTCGTTCTCTGTCCCTATCTCTACTTCGAGATCGCCGCCGTTTTTTCTCCGGAGTAGGGGATCGTGATCTAGAACGCGATCTAGACCGCCTTCTGTGATGCCTATCTCTAAAAAGCAAAGGCATTAAATTCAACGCTTGACATCATGGTTTACATCATAGATAAACGTTCGATAAACGGTTGGTATTGATTAAAAAGTAGTTTGTACAATAGCAAAGGTTAGGTTAATAAAATTAACCTGAAAAGCGTACTTGAATAAAACGTTATACGTACTTATCGCTACTTCGAACCATGATCGATGATGTTACTTAACAGCAAGAAAATTCTGTTTCTACTTGTTTCTATGTGAACATTTGTATCAGTCTTCTAATTTATCACAAATTATACGATACAATTACTTTCGTTTACAAACGTTAACCTAATTTTTTGCCTTCGTACAAGTGCTGCCACACGACGACATGACACACTGTGTCTGTAAACTGCGACTGTGAACTATCGAATAATTTAAGATCGGATTTACAAGAAAACAGTTTCTAGAATTCAAAACCGATGACGTGGTATTAAAAATTGATAAATTAATCTTCTTAATTAGTATTTCTTACACTTAAAGCGATGCACGTGGCATTGTCGCGCCATCGATTGGCGGATGTCAGTACTACAAGTGCCGATAATCTTAGTGCCCATGTTTACGATAGATGGCTCCAGTATGTTGAAGACACTTTAATTAAAAAAAAAAAAAAAAAACTAATTAGAATCTGCGAACTTTTGGAATTGTATAATCAGTTTGAGAAGCTCAGCTTTCTTTCAAGCTCAGCGTTCCATTCGATGTACAAAACATGTGAATAAAGATTTTCATATTTCTGTTCAACAAATTGAAATCCATTTTCAAGTTGGGCTCAATTTCTCGTAAATGTTAAATAAAATTTACTCGTGAACGTAAATTCAAAGAGTTAATTTTAAAATGCATATGTATAGCATGCAATTTGACCGCGTAAAAATTTAAAATTAATTACATTTTGTAATATCGACAAAGAGAGGTTAGTTTCACTGCTTTACCACTTCGCGGCGCTAACATCTCGGTATCCATAATTTGCGCAAATTTTAAATTTACAAAAACTGGATTAACTTGTAATTGTTCGTGTTATATCTCTGACAAATTGGAACTCTTTTCTTTTTTACATTTTATAAAACTGTAACATTGTGCATTTTATAAACTTTTTAAGCATCCTCTGTATTATAAATTTTTTTATGTTTTTCATTTCAAGTAGAACTCTTTTCATTACATTGTATACATTTTTCTTTTTCAGAGAATTAATGTAAAAATACTTTTCAAAATAATAATAATATGTACGTATACATTTAAACCAAACCAAGAATGTTTAATGAATGAAAATCTTTTTGTAACTACTGATTAAGTTAAATTGTTCCTATATTCGCTGATATTCAGAACACGTGTATGTCTATTCTGCCTTTACATAACAATTAACAGTATATATAGTACATAATATACTATACTAATTATATATACCAGTATTATATACTAGTTATATACTAGTATATAGTATATATATTATATATGTTACATATTGTATAGTATAATATATAATATTTACTGTATATTGAAATGTTGCTAATAAGAAAATCATGTGAATTTCTGCTCGAGTTAAGTTAGTAAAACCTTGAAACAAATTATTTCTTAGTCAAAGGAATTCCCAGCTCAATTTAGAAAAGTTTGCATGCCAAGGCATTTCTGATACGCGTATACGCACGTACGGTATGATACACTGCATGCAAGACTGCGGAATAAATATTCCGGAGTCATTGTTCGTCCACTGCGTTTTCTTTTTTGTCAAAATTTCCTCGATAAAAAAAAACATAAAGCAATGGGAACGTGATAACGTAATATGTAATTAACTCTGTAGCCGCGAGCGACGCCGAAATCGCGTTACTTTAACTTCCTGTTTTGCACCGCAGTGAGTCTCTTTGTGATAACTTATATAAGATATAGATTTCACTTGTGATCTCACGGTCACAGAAAAATTGTTTCCGCGGTTTTTAGAAGGTTTGAAATAAAATTATTTGAAACCCGTGGCATCTGCCAATCGGTCACCAAAACTCGAAAAAGAAGCAGATGGTAAGAAATGAGGAAAGTTACTTAAGCAGGTGTAGCTTGGCACGCGACAGGTGAACATCGCAACCGTATGTACGTATATTTTTAGGATTGACGATATCAGACGTGAGAACGAAAGATCGAGAACAACGGCGATCGAACAACGACGAGAAACTGAATAAAACGGTCGTTATCTATCGGTGATAATAACTGTAAAACGTTTCTAAGCTGATTGTTGTGAATCGTTAATCAGGAGGGACAAACGAGCTCAGAATCCACGATGATTTCACCAGTCTACAGCGAACAGAGACGTGGAGTTCGTGATTGTGATGAAAATGACTGGTCGTTCGCTTCTTATGCTGGATACATGTCGCGAGCCATCGGTTTTTCCCAGAACGACCAGATTTCCGATCCGATACAACGTCTCCTCTGATAAATAATCCACGTGGAGGACGACGAATAAATTTGCCAATGGAATACAAAGTGGCGGCCGTGTATTGCCAACTTTAATCCTCTGTGATGAACAGCTCTTCGAGACGGCGAATACTGGATGGTGTGTTGCGAGACGATTTTCCATAAACTTCGATTCGTCTCGCAAAACAGAGAAAAAGGTTGTTTGAATAACCACGTTCCCCCTGGCCTCTTGTCGCCGAAGAATTTGCAATTTATCCTTATAGAAAACGAAAGGTTCCTTTTGGCACGAATCCCAATCGATCCTCGGATTCCTACGAACAAAGAAATAATGCAGCGAGCATAGTTGGCCGGCGACGGTTGCGTGTACGCGCGCATCTTTTCGCATAAAGGAATTTCTCTCTTACAATAACCAACGATACCTGACCGACAGAAATTCCGGGAAAACCGATTCCTCCTTCGATTTCCTGTTTTAATGTCGAATCGAAGTGCCGCGAGAGAGAAACCAAAAGAAGAGCCGTAACGTTCAAGCAAACTTGAGCAAATCTGTCCGTCCACCATCCATCTGGTCAAACTGGTTTCGGAGCGGTTAATTAATTTGATCCGGTGATGATTCGATTTGCGGTTTCTTTGGAAGCAATTAGCTAATTGTTAGTTCTTTGTAGAGCCTACAAAGAAAAAGAAAAAAAAAAAAACGCGATCAACGCTAGAAATAGGGGAGTAAACAAAGTCACCAGTTCGTAAATTTTTCATCCTTGTGGATTTACCACGGTGCGTTTTTACAAATTTGAGCGATTTTTTTTTTCATTTCTTTGATACAAGTTTAATACTTTAAGGAATCTAGAAAGTCAATATTGAAGTAGTAGATGTTGAAGAAAAGAGTAGTACTTTCTAGATATCAATGACAGTCAATGAGTGTTCGAAAGATATTTCTTATATCGAAGTAAGTATTCGAATGAGAATAAGATAACTCTTCTATTGTAGATTATAAAGTTTCAATGCCAAGCACAGGAAGTAACTTGATACAGTTGGCTTCCGACGCGCGCGCGGACGCATTGCAAATGATAATGCTTTTTACACGTTCATTGTTAGCACATTGTCGTTTTATTCATATCTGGCCAAGTATTATTATACCCCATATATATTTAAAACGGGTAATTGTAATGATCATGCGCCAGAGGATACTCGTTGTCGGCCTCAGATGTTAGAAGAATAGAAAACTAGTTATCTCCAATCAATCTGAAACAAAGAAACCTACTGAAGACAACATTCTTCCCCGTTAATGAAAATTAAAGTTGTTAATTGAATCAAAAATATCAAGTCAGGAAATTGACAAAAATGGACTTGCAATACTTTCCACACGTGATCATCAAACATAAACATGGTATTATAATAATTGATTGAACTACTAACAAGTGAGCTCATTTTCCCTAGTTAATAGGTATAAAAATAAATTAGATTCTGAAGAATTTAAGATATAAGAACTATCAGAGCAAAAGAGTACTCGAAATTCCAACCTGAATTTTCCGATTTCGAAACCAAACTGTTGAGACTTTGGCTTCGAAATCCATCGAATTTCCTCGTTTCGATCGAGCACCACTGTTAAACAGAAGGGCGCGTGCCAAGAGTTCACATCTGCCGCAGTTGTTTTCGCATCCCCTCGGTTTCATTCTGGAACACCACCACCACCACCACCACCACTGATAAATGCGTCTCCGGTTTCAGAAAAAAGCTTCCGCAGGAAGCACTACCAGATCTTTTTATCGCGATGTGTTCGTTTCCTCCCTCATCGACTCCAAAGACGAAATCACTTGGGACGAAAGAAGGAGACCTGACGTTCAACAGATTTTTCATAAAATTGTTCTACCAATTGTTCTACCAATCTCCTTCTTCTTGTCCTGCAAAAAAGAAGAAATAAATAAATAAGCGAAAAAGAAAAGGACAGAGCAAGTTGAAACAAACACTGGTTAGACAAACTAACAAGTCTACCTTCATCAATCCCTACGTTCCATTTGGCAATGGAAAAATTTCAATGATGATTGCCCATTGTCTACGCTGCGCGGTACGTTTTCTCAACAAATTGTCTAGTCGTAGAGAATGGTCGTAGAGGAGGAAAATAATGAGAGAAGTAGCGTTCAGATAGTGTGACGGTTTCCTCTTTCTTTCTTTGACGTGTCTTCTTCAAAAGACCCCTCTCATTTGTCGGCTTCGCTGTGTCTTCTTAAGCCCATTGTGGAAGCATTTAATGACCATCGCAACCTTCGATTATTTTCCTCGCCCAAATTTTCTCCCTGAAACAAATATACAGAGGAACGACGAAGTTGAAATTGCGAGTGTCGCTTCAAGAGATAGGGAATGGTAAAAGGGAGCTGGAAAAGTGACGGTACGGGCCTGAGCCCGAGGGCCCAAAGAAGGGGACCCGACTCCAGGTAAGCAGCTGCAAGCATCTGCAGGGGCAACAGCGACGCGGGTAACACCGCGTGCTTAAATTAGTCCCGGCACAACTGTCGCTCGCGTAACATGTGAGGAGAGAGGAGTTTGTGCTTCGAAAAGCGAAGTGAAAAATTTCATAACTGAAACAGACACTGATCGACTGTTAATAATACATTCGTAAGGAACGTGTGTGAAATTTTGACGCAACAAAAAATAACCGAGTACTCATAAAAAAGTATAAATAGAAAGAAAGAAAGAAAAAAGATGACAGAAGTTCAATTGTGAAGAGAGAGCTTAAAGTTTAATCTGAGATAATCTTATATTTGGCCCTGGTATATCGGACTTTACTCTAAGAAATTTTAGTGATTATGATTAATAGTCGCTCTGCAAGGGGTAGTTCTAAGTGAAGTTCCATAACGAAGCTCGTATGGCTTGGAGATCGTGAAGAAATTAACGAAGAACGTGGATTCGATGATCGTATGAAGGTTCACGAAGAGGCGAACGAACGAAGAAGAAGAGGAAGATGCTGATACTTAGGCTAATTGTGGTGTTGAGCCTCTGTTGGATGGCCAGGTGCGATTTACTGGACCTGTACGTCCAGCATATGGACGAGACCATGAGGACCTTGGCCTACAGAAACAGGCATCATCAGAAAGATATTATATCCAGGATAAAGAGAGGCCTTCGAGGAGAGGAGCCGTTTCTCAGAGTGGGCACGTTTAAGAAGCAACGGTTGGACGTTGATAAAGAATGGTACGCGCAATGGAAGGCAAAGAGAAAGATCTCTTACAAAGAAGACGGTCTGGACTTTCCTAATTCGAGGGAAGAGAACCTGGATCCGAGTCAACACGAGCTGGTGAACAACGCGAGTTCTCGAATTCTCGGCCGAGTATCCGAGGAAACGACCACCATGTCGGCAGAGATCAATGAAACGATGGATGCGTTCGATATCGAACTTTCCAATGAAGAGTCAACGTGGTCGAACGGCACAGCATTGTCAGACAGACAATCGATCGAAAACGAGAATCCGAGGGCTGAATCTCGAGAAGAGACTACTCGAACGACCGATTTTCAAGACGACGTCGAGATAGAAGAGAATTCCCAATTCGAAATCATCAGCGATACCGGTACCGCTGGCCCAACGTTCTTCGACGATCCTATCTTGAAAAGAACGCGAGATCGAGTCCCTAAGAAGTACATTCCACCGATGAATAAATTAGCCAAATTCTTTCGTGGCTCAAAGTATATCGATTCCGAAGAGACGATAGACAACAGGCCACGAAGGAGTATCAAGGAACCAAAGTTCACCAGGCACGAGAAACTCGACGACGATGGCGAGGTCATCCTCGAGTGGGATCCTTCAGACAAGGAGATGGTCATCTTCAAGGTCACTGCCAAGACCTTGGGATACGTTGGTATCGGCTTCAACGATAAAAACCACATGAAAGGGGCTGATATTTTACTGGCTTGGGTGGACGATCACACGGGCACCGTCAATCTACTGGTAAGTCCTCCTCTGTTCGATCTCAATCATCGGTGATTGATGAGGGAGTCGTCGGCCAAGGTATTCGGCCCTATGATCGATCGTTTCTCGAATCTCCGATCTCAGGAGAAATCAATTCCGCCATTTTTTGTTTTTTTTTTTTTTTTTTTTTCTATTTGCGTGTATCCTTTCTTCCCCTTCGTCGCCCGTTCTTCTTCCTCTTTGTGCAATCTTGATCTTCTAATGATCAATTAGCATAACAAGAGAATGATTAGGATGCGTGAGAATAATCGAACCGAACAGTCTAACCGACGTCTACGGGAGTCGGTGGTAACCGCGTGGGAAGAACTCGTTTCTTTCTCTTATCGCAATGCAATCCTAGATTTCTCGAGGCTCGCGTGCGATTCTATTTTCGCTCCGCTTTCGAACCGGCGGCGGCAATCCGCTATCCTGAAATAGAAACGATAGAGAACGGGACGAATCGCCATCGACGGATCCTCGTAGGTTCGAGACACACCACGAGATTCAATGGACTGGCAATGGTTTTCGCGATTCTTCCCTCGGCTAAAGACAGCTGGAGATCTATCGGCGTGGATCCCTCGTTGCCGCGGATCGGGCTGGCGAAGGAAAGAAGGGGAGAGCAAAGGAAGGGGAGAGATTCGATGGAATACAAAAAAGCAGCGAAAGGAAGGAGAGGCAACAAAGAACGACAACGACAACGGCGACGACGATGAAGAAGAAGAAGAGGAGAAGGAAGAAAGAAACCCAGGTGAAAAAGAAGCGAAAGAAACGAAAAGCCAGGGAATTGAAGGAAGATTAAGAAGGCGGCTGGGGCTGAAAGGCAGGTCGAAACAGCAGTCTGAAGGACCTGCGAAGCTGAAAGAAGGATGAGGAGAAAGAAACAAGAAACAAAAACCGGGGCATCGCGAGTCGAGGTATCGGCCTTCACTCTGCCAACCAAACGACCAAATCCTTTTCGAAAGAGATCCCCGCCTCGTTCGTGGTTTCGTTTCAGTCGCACGATCCGTATTAATGAGGTTCGTTTAATTAACGCGTCATGGGAGATGCGAAACGATTTTCTTCTCTCGTCACGCGTACGATGCACAATATAATAGTTAGTGATTGAAAGGATACGAAGAAACAACAAAGGTATCCGTATTCCCGTAGGATCCTCGACTCATTACCGTTTCGACGAAACTACCCTGATATCTTCGCCTGGGAAAAAGAAGCTCGCATAAATTACCAACGAAGATAACTAACTCTCTGTTCCGACAGAGAGTTTGAGACTTTCGAGTTGAAGTATCGAGACTCGAATGAACATTGAACTCGAGTTCCCATTCAACGAACGGATTTAAAAAGGAACTGGTTATCGAAACTTGCTGCATCTCTTTTTCTCTCTTTCTCCGGCTTCCCCGAATTCCTAATCTTAATTAAATTTATATCCACTTCTCCGAGGTATGCGACGTTCGTTCCCTACTCTCGTGAACGTGAACGTGAACTCCGTTTCGATCACACGAAATTCGATCATGTACGATCTACGAAAAATGATGTACACCTTCAATATATCAGCCGCAAATTGAAAAATGAAGAAACACTGTCCGATGAAATTGGCAATTACGTGGAATCTAAACCAGTTGAGTGGAAGGAAACGAATGGCAGGATTTTTCGGCTCGATTTACTCGATACTTATCCGCAAGAACGAAGGGCTTGGAAAAAGAAACGAGCAGAACGCAGGTGAAGGGGAGAAGAAGAGGAGTCTGAAGCGGCGCTGGTAGAAAATTAACGAACGTCGTTCCACCGGTCGAGATAAAGTCGTGATAAATTTACGTCCGGCAAGGGCAGCGAGAGGCCTTTCTGTCCGGCCTCTCTTCGATTCGCCTTCTCTCGCCTCTTCCACCTTGACGAATTCGAAATCCACCGGCGAATCTGACCGCTTGTCAATTCCATGACTCGACGAAATTTCTTCAATGGGAATGTCGAAAGGAATGTCGAAACAATACAACTGCAATCGAATTTCTAAATTTACACGGATAAAATTTTATCAATATCGTTACCTAATTGTTTGAACTCTAGACAAACTCCTAGCAAGTAACCTTATATGAGGATATACTTTTCCTGTATTTTTCACTTTATGGAGTCGATCAAACCTTCCACTAATAACATTACATTCACAAATTATTGCCTGCAATAATTCTCTGCGTCAGTAATAATTGGCGTTACACATTCAGACATAACAAGTGTCTTCCGCGTAGAGAATAAGCCCCGTGTAAATTCGAATATGCGAATAGCCTGAAGAGAAGTAATGCCACAAGCAGCGGTACAGGGCCGAGTGTACGACATGGATACAGAAACGCGTGTGTGCAGGTTACAAGCCGAAAGCTCAAAGTGTGCGAAAGGTTGCGTGACTGAATGTGTGACGAATACAACGAGAGACCGTGCAAGTATGTAAGAGAAGGCCCCCTCGGCCATAGGTATGTTGTGTCCGGGGAGTTGGTTCCAAAGAGTCCCAGTCAAGGCCTCCAGACATCGCATCGGCGGGGGGAGGCTACGCGAATCTTTGAGCATCGTTGCAAAGAAAGATGAAGAGCGGTCCTGGCTCCAATGAATCGGCCGACACGTGATATCTTCCACTCCTCGGATCTCTGAACATGTGTTAAGGAACAGTCCTGGAACGATAGGAAAAAGAAACGAATAAATTAAAAGAAGGAAAGGTATCGAAATCGAACCTGTTGCTGCTATTTAATTCTTACGAACGGAGGATGTTGCAGTAACAAGAAGACCGTAGCTTTAACATTAAATTATCAAACTTGACGCGAGAATTTCATTATTAATGCTACTACTAGGATATCAGCTGAACTTTATAATATATTTGTCAAAAAGTAATTTAGATTCTTCGTTTACTTTAATTACTGGAAAGTCCTCATTGCAGGGAATCCCGAATCGAATACAACTGAGATCGTTTCAAACAGAGAGACAAAACTCGAAAAAAATAATTCAACAGTCGCTGAATTATTCACCGCGAGCGACGGGATGTGCACGTAGAACGATTACAATCGTAATTTATTACAGGCAGGGAAGCACGTTTCGCAAAGTGAATCTGAAATGCAGGAAATCTGCAATCCGTCCATCTCATGGTCCAACAGGTCCAGCTCGAGACCGACTCGCTGCATAGATGAACACACACATTCTCCTCTCCGCATCGCCGTGATCTTTTTTTCATTATCTTCTTTCATATCCTGTTCGTCTTTTTTCATTCACCGCTAACCAGTTTTCGTTCGTTTCCGATTCAACTTCGTCTTCCCGCGCTCCAAACTTCGTCGTGAACCTGAAAAAAGTAATAAAACGAAAGAGAAATATTCGGATTCGTAAGTACATTCTCTGGTCACAGTCTGAATTGAAACACAAGCTTTTTTTATCAAGACCTCATTAAACCACGAGAAAATAGTAGAGCAAAATATCTAAAATGTCCGATTAAACGTATCGATAACAATGCCAATATCTTTTGTTAGACATTTATCCCTACAAACTGTATAACATTTTCTTTTTTTTTTTTAACGACTTTTAATAAATAGTTTAACCACTATTCTCACTCATTTCTCCTCTTCCTGCTAAATAGCAAGATGAGACTCACCCGAATATTTTACAGATATATTTTAACATCAGTCTGGTGATCGGCGACATATCATTGTGCACGTCGTGGACCGCAGTTTGCGGATCATTCTCTTTTTACCATCGTTTCTCAGACCTCTTTCACGTTTAATAAGCGTATTCACGACCCTCGGAAACTGACCACTTGTATCGGCCCTTCAAAAAGGCTTCTTCTTTTCCCTAGCAAGCAATCGAAAGGAACTTCAAAGAACAAAGGCAAACCTGTTATTAATGGCACCAATTACAACTTCGGTGGAAATTAACAGACTACCGTTTGAGGAAAAGGAAGAAAAAGAAGATGTTATCCATCAATTTTCTGAGTATGGCCCGGAGCCTTGAGGCGAGGCCCGTGAAACAACCACGATTTGGCACCGGTGGTGGTTAAACCGGCGCCAAACTGGTTCGCGGAAGCTAATTCCGGCAACTCGCGTTTCTTCCGAATCGACCATTCCCTTAGAGCTTTCGTATCTTCTCTGAAAATTTCGCTGATTCGCCGATCGCTGAAAACAAACAGTTACATACAGAAATCTTTGATTCAACTCAGAAAAAAAAAAATATTTCAATTGTGATTCAATAATTATTT